GATTGTCGAATCGACCACTAATAGCCAAAATACTGAGCCTCTGGAACAGCAATTGGGGATCTATCTGAACTTTCCCATCAGTGAGCTGGACAGCAGTTCTGGATGCGAGTGTCTTCACTTGGTGTTTCCTCTCAAATGAATATTCCAATGCATTCTGACCAACCATCTTCTTGAGTATCTCACATCCAACGTCTTTGGCTTTATCACAATTTACTCCTTCCTCAGCTACTACGCCAGTTGCGATGTTGCGTAGAGATGTGTCTGCACTGAATGGGTTTCTCTGAGACAGGTAGCTTATAATCTTATTGGTATCACTGTAGYCACGTTCCATTCTTGCTTTAGTGGCCTCCTTGTGTTGCTCGTTGCATGTATGCTGGTCACTTGTGCTAAAATTAGTGTGTGTGAGACTCTGCATCGCATTGTTGATATCTGCACAAGCGGGCATCGACATCACCCAAACAAGGCGTTGTGTTTCTGACATGCCTCTTCCTCTAGTTAATCCACCACTTGTCTTAACGCTACGCATTAACACCTATGAAAAGGCAAGCATTTATTTAGAAAAAWTTAAATTCAATACCAGAAATATAATTTTTAATTATTTTTTTTAATTACCAGAAATATATACATTTTGGGGGATTTATGACTTGTAATTTATGACAAAGATATAGTTCCAGAGATATTTAAGCTATTTAGGATATTATGCTAATGTCAATAGCATATGTAAATTACCTGCTCAATAATCAGATCAGTAGACAGTCCTGCCCAGAAGCGATCACTACGTCGCACAACATGCAAGCCTTCCATGAAACTGCTATATACACCAGGATGGGATTTCTGTAAGTCTTGCATCAACTGCAGATAGATATGACCTGATTTGCAATAGAGGTTATGACCTGCTGCCGCAAAATAGGGTAACATGTCATAAACTGCTTGAAGGTGAAGCTTCCAGTTACCGGTTCTTTCTGCCTTGATAAATGTTTTTAAAATGTCAACCATCTTCATGTACTCCATCCACAATACAGCTGTTCGATGATTCTTCATTGACGCCTGCATCTCTTTGATTTTTGTGGCTACTCTTTTAAAGACATTATAAGAGGACACTTCGTTTGCTTTTTCTGGAAACTCTAAAGATTCATTACACAAACGTTTYATAAGTTCGATGTCAATGTCTGTTGCTCTTTCTTGTGTGTTTCGCTCATCCTGATCATCATCTTCAGTAACATCATTTTCATCTGCTTGCAAATCACTCTCTACAGACAAAGTAGGGAGATCTAGTGTTTTACATGCAWTCAATGCATTGAGAGCCCGATCCAAGAGAAAGTGACCTCTAATTGCTCTTGCAATTGCTTTTCCGCTAAGCATATGGGTAACAGCATTATTTGCATATATTAACTCTAGAAGTTCCTGAAGACCGGAACCTGACATTATATGGCCAATACATCCAAGGTAACTCATTTCGATATGCAGACCTCCAAGTTTTAGAAGTACGGATTTTAGTTCTGGTTTCTCTTGGATTATCATAAGGGCTTTCCACCATAATGGCTGATCAAAAGTGATTATTGGGGTGGCACCGTAGCGGCTAGCTTGTTCATTGATAAAGGAAATCGTGGAGTATATGCACGTCATGTCGCCAGGGTCGATATCAATCATGGGAAGAAAAATTACTGATGATTTCCCAGGATGAGCTCCGCTGCACACATTTTGCATCATGCCAGCCCAGCCTGCCTGAGGGGATCTCAAGAGTGGTAGTGTCAACTTCCATAGCAGGTCTAAGTTTTCAGTATCATCTTTTACTTTCAAGTCGTCCAAGTCCTTAAATAGGAGGCGTGAGACGTCTTCATTTGGACCATAATAGGGACGAATAGGTATACGCCCAGTTTTAGAAATTTCATCAGTAGATACCTCTCGTCTTGGAATTGAAGTCTTGGTTTTCGTACCTGGAGTAATTGTGGCCACAATCCCCATGCCATGAAACGTCCCCTCTCCATCAAGGGTTCTCGAGTTGTGATCTACGTTATCAGCGGCATACTGAATGAAACGCCCTGGAATCCATCCAGGTATATCGGTGCCTTGAGCGACGGCTGCACTTCTTTCATATTTCTGAACGGTGCTGTACGAACAGCAAAATCCATGAGAGTTTAAGGAGTCAATGAGGAACTTTGAAGCAAACTGATGGTGCATTTGAACTCCAAGTCCTAGTTGTAGTGGTGCAACAATGGCTCTTGGGCGTGTACCTTGCATTATTGCTTGCCCGATGGAGGCAACTTTTAAGCGCACATCTTTCCCAGAAAATAATGTATTTAAAAACATTTGCACCAATTCTGGAACATATTCTAAAGCTTCATCTACAGATGTCATGTCATTACTTGTTGGGTAGCTATCACCTGACGCATCAATAGACTTAATTTCACTCTTGAYTAAGTTAGCTGCAGCCTTTACAATTTTACATCTTTCTATTTGAGGATCCTCATTTTTCGGTTGTCCATAGAATTCGTGCACAATGGATGCCACAGTCTGTCTAAAGGTTATAWCATTAGGTCTTTTTCTTGTTGAGGTGATAAGTAATCTGTCACCAAAATGCTCTTCCAGTCGTCTCTTCATGTATACTACACTATAAGCTTCCTCAATAGAATCTTGAAGATAATCATCCATCTTCTTGACCAAATCAGCAACTGTGAGTTGCTCATCTTCATTTTCGCTTAGATATTGTATTAMTTTCTGAAAAGCAGCACTTTTTGCAGTATCGGCTTTCCTTCCTTGGGTCTTACACCTCTTTGGGGCCATGGCATCAAAGTTGTCAGTGTACTGCACAGGGACATTTCTACCCGTTCGAAAGTTGCTACTACAACTGGTGTGATATATAGCATCTGCTGCGTGGAGGTCTTGAAGGTATTCCAAACGTCCAAGTACAGTCTGTGCCCAGTCGTCATTCCTTTCTTTGCACAATCTTGAGATAGTTTCTTGGAATTCTATTGTTCGCACGCGTATCACATCTATCACTTTTGTCTTTCCATCATACTTCGAGGCCTTGCCACAAAAAAAGCAGTGTTCTTTGGAATTAAATGTCTCTACTGATGACCTGCGTTTAGCAACATTCTGTACATGWCTTTGCTGAGTGGTACATGTTGACTTTTTTGGTCGTACAAGATCAACGCGACATTTTCGGTGTACTTTTTGACCTGGCTTAACACCAAGACAACTGTTAACTGCATTTATTGTTTCGCATCCTTTCTGAGTTAATACGCTAAAAGAATTCTCTGCCCCTAAACTGTCTCCACAAATACAGCAGATTTCTGTTTCACTCATCACAAACGAACTAAAAAAAATGGCCAGGACAAAACATGAGTTTTCTGTGTGAATATTTTACTTCTAAATAGAAAACAAAAACATTAAAATAAAAATATAACTTACCTTTTAACACAGTATTCTACATAGTAATGAAATAAAAGAGACAAASTGATCAAAAATACAAGAACTAGATAGTTAACTTCCATACAACTTAGTGACTAGGACAAAATGTTCAAGGCATTCCTTTAAAATAAGAGATGTCCTGGTACCTAATTAGAGCAGTTTTTCACTTAGATATGGGCATAATTTTTAATATTTCCTCTTCTTACTTCTTCAGAAATAATGTTTTTGAAATCCTATCCCTATTTCAAAATATTGTAAAGAATAAAACATTTTGTAAAGAATAAAGCAGTTTCTTCCAGTTGACTGGGATACCTGTGKCTGAAGAATTGCCATTTCTGCCTATAAAATGCTAAAGAAAGCTAAAATTTGTTTCTAGCAAATTGATGGGTTATGACCACTTGCACTCTCTTCATTAAGATTAACAAACATTTATATTTCTCATTAATTKACATTAATTGACATTTTATTGGAATTGGGTACCCTGTGGTGACATGGTCCTTGTTYGAGTCGAATTTAAGCAATGTTCCTCTGGGAGAATTTTGGGGAACTTTTAGTATGTTGTTTAGCACATTATTCTGAGTAAGAAGACACCTAAAAAGCTTTTGTTGCAATTAGTTTGATTTTCGCCCACAAAATTTCACAGATTGACTGGACTATGGGGAATGTTCAGTCTGTTGGCGTGAAATGTTACTTCCTTAACAAATTTTGAAAACGTTGGGAAACTTTCGCAGCCGTATTCTTCTTGTAATGTTTGCACCTTACTTGACCACTTAGTCAAAAACCAGTTCGGTAGTTTTTCAACTAA